GGGTCAGGGTCCAAAAACACATGGGATTTGCCACATTTCTGAAATTCGGTGCCACCCCTCACGCAGATCCGCGGGGTCAGGGTCCAAAAACACATGGGATTTGCCACATTTTTGAAATTCGGTGCCACCCCTCACGCAGATCCGCGGGGTCAGGGTCCAAAAACACATAGGATTTGCCACATTTCTGAAATTCGGTGCCACCCCTCACGCAGATCCGCGGGGTCAGGGTCCAAAAACACATGGGATTTGCTACATTTTGAAATTCGGTGCCACCCCTCACGCAGATCCGCGGGGTCAGGGTCCAAAACACAGGGGATTTGCCACATTTCTGAAATTCGGTGCCACCCCTCACGCAGATCCGCGGGGTCAGGGTCCAAAAACACAAGGGATTTGCCACATTTCTGAAATTCGGTGCCACCCCTCACGCAGATCCGCGGGGTCAGGGTCCAAAAACACAGGGGATTTGCCACATTTCTGAAATTCGGCGCCACCCCTCACGCAGATCCGCGGGGTCAGGGTCCAAAAACGCAGGGGATTTGCCACATTTCTGAAATTCGGTGCCACCCCTCACGCAGATCCGCGGGGTCAGGGTCCAAAAACACAAGGGATTTGCACATTTCTGAAATTCGGTGCCACCCCTCACGCACATCCATCGCAAGGCGTGGTAACCCAAACTGCGAGTACTCCCTCGGCCCTTTAATCCCAAGGTGTGGTAACCAAGCTCGTAAACCATACACGTCTTACCAATCGCCCTGTGTGGTAACCCCTCTTGTGATCAGTTGGTTTTGCCGATTGCGAATCGGCCTCGCATGAAGTTCGATACTGCTGCACGACAGCGCCAAAGCCTCATGACTTAGCTCTTCCATGGCCCATTCTCCGAGAGAGGGGGCCGGCGGCAGGGGGCGAAGCCCTTACGGATAACTATTCGTGCTCCTCCTTTTCTTTCTCTTCCTCCTCCTTCCTCCTCCCTGCTGCTCCTCCTCCTCCTCCTCCTGCTCCTCATCATCATCCTCCTCATCCCCTCTCCTCCCCCCCTCAATGGTTACTCTGGGGAACAAAAGAGGAGGCGGAGGAGGAAGAGGAGGAGGAAGAGGAGGAGGCGGAGGAGGGATGAGGGAGGACACCAGATGTGGGAGGAGCAGTGGGAGGAAGGGAGAAAACATGAGGAATTAG